TGATGGACTTCTTTTATTTACAGGTAATTGGAAAAACGGCTAAAAATATCCAAACCAGATGGAAATCTGGTAGTTTGTAAATAAAGGATGACAACTGTATGTATTTGTACACATATGGTTGTTATGTTTCTCATCCGTCTACAAAAACGCAAATCAGATTAGCATACGTGAGTTTGAATATCGTAAGTTATTGTTTGATATATTTTCACCATACTGAGTGATGATTGAATGTGAGATGAAAATTTAGACCGCAGCCGAATTCGAGCGAGCGACCATCGGATTTCCTGCCCGATGCTCTACCAACTGAGCTACGAGTTTGACTATGCACTTGGCACTAAATAGCGAAACATGAGTTAAAACAACCTTGTTTTGTTTCACGTTGATTAGAAGGCACAAGCACAAAAATAATGAAATAACCGGGAGTCTTAACAGCAAATGTAAGGAATAATGACAGTATAATAATCATCGCCATGATATTAATTGGATGATTATAATAACAACAACAAACGCTTCACACAGAAGCAAGGGGATGAATTTTATATCACGTAAGACATCTAGCACAGATGATAAGAGCAAAGTGTATTTGTAAGGAAAAACCGAAAATGGCATACAGTTGGTGAGACGAACAGGGTAACGATAGATATATCATTATCACTTTCTGAAGAAAGTAGACAGGTTTGAAATTTTTAACTACTACTGACACTGCAAAGTGCAGTAGTGAGGAAATTACTTGTCAGTTTGTTACTTTTAAGGCTATAGTTAATTCTACACTGTGTCCCGAATTGACTGTTTGACTTATGTTTGAACTTGTGGACGTTTAAAAATGATTCCTTCATATACTAATTTGCACACATTTAGAAAAAAATGAACGAATCGTTTTTCTCTTGGATACATCTGCTTTGCAAAGTACGTGTGAATTCATAATTACAGTAGTCTTCTATGTTAGGTGGGGGGTACTCGTTAATTTCTCACCAGCTGACCAGGCTAATATTATATAAAGGAATAGTTTTCTCAGTTGGGTAATTCTTAACTAAAGATGATCCTAGCTTTCGTCTAATAACTTCTACTTCTAAAATGCTATAACACTATTTAAGGGATTGCTTACTTCAAGTAACAAGCGAAATGACTTTCGCCAACCCAAGTCATTCAAACGCTTATATTAGATTCATTTATTAATTTTATGTACTATTTAGAGTTACTCAGTTTCAGACCACCAGAACAATGTCTACATTGTGCGACTGACACTGTGATACTTGTTTTTATTAAAATGCATTTGATTTCCTCGAAAAGTATCATTTCAAACGGCGTTTAGTTTTTACATACTACTGGTTGAAATAAGCAGTTAGCTCCATTTGATAACACCACTAACAAGATCTGAACATTGCGACGCCAGATTTCCCACTTTCAGCCAAGCTCATAACTGGTTTCAACTTAAGGAGTTAAGTCACTTAAAACACCTTCAGCTTCAGTGTGGGATTGAAAGAACACTACCGACTACTTTCACTTTAGGTAAGTAGACGTTTGTTTTGAGGTCTTCTGAAATTATTACCTGTATGAGGTGAAATGGTTAAAGAACATCGCTGATAGTCTTTCTTGTAACCGAGCAAAATTGCTACTCGATGTTTAGACCAATTTGATATACTCACCAAGAACGACTGCTAATTTGTCAAACATGTATCTAATTACTCAGTCAGAGTAATATACGACATATAGTCTCTTTTCTTGTGTGTTATTGATATTCATAAACCCAACCTGATAACATACTGTAACATGACATCTAGTTTTAGAAGAAAACTGCGATGGGACCTTGTGACTAAACTACGCTGTATTCAGTTCTTCTCTCCATAAACTGAGAATCTTTCAGGTACATTTTGAAACATTTGGGTAAGATTTGATTAGTTAATCAAGAATATCAAGACCATGGTCGTTGAGAATTTCCTGGGAGAATATTGGCTTTTAGTCGGATAAATTGCATCGCCAATAAGGCATAAGGATTTAGTTAGTTGTTGCATGTTGTTTTTTGTAGACTGGTTTTATTTGAAAGCAGAACTTTCAGTGAGGTGCCAGACATTATTTTCAGTACAAACGTGAACCACGGTCATTGGTGTTAAAAAAGGTAGGCAATAAATTCTGCTGAACAGCTGTTCAGTACCTTAGAGAAACGATCGATTCATATGAGTGAACCAATGCAACTTAAAACTTCTATGATGATGAAAAGAAATTAATGATTCCCACTTTGCTAGTTGCATTCTTCATCAAAAATGCAGCTGAACAGATAGGTGTTCAATCTCTTCCTTTTTGATTGCTTTATTTAGACTCAAACTGGTATCAAACATACTCCATGATATTGTTCGCTTATTTCACTTATCTCAGTTTTGTCAGCAAACACCACTTGACATCGAGCTCTACATGGTGAAATCTTGACTACTAACATTCGGTCCAACAAAATGTTACACGTTCAGAGTAATGACTGGATAGATACTAAGTTTAAGAAGGAGATAGACAGATATAGAAGGGTTTAATAAACTTCAAGTTTACTAACAGAAATTTTAAGTTCATCATTAAGGATGGAGGCTGAAGGTTGTTTCTTCGATGACAATTCTCATTTCTTCATCCTGAAAGGAATTCAGTAATTTTCTAAGGAAAAAGTGGTAAACTTACATTCATTTCTTGTATTGAGATATATTGCGCATCGCCTATTATAAGATGTGAATGTCTAGGGTAAAGAATATTTTCCTATCAACCCACTAGTCAATTAAAGATGTCTGTTCGAAAAAATTTAAGGCGAAACAACCCACACAGTTTACTGTCCAATAATTCTAACCCCTAATAGTTTCGAGATAGTATTCATCACGGACTGATGTCAGCTGGAGGACTGTTGAAAGCCTGGGAGCACTGGACAGTTGTTTCGTCTTAGTATATGACTCCTTGGCAGTGGAGACCCACGACCGGGCTAGGGATCAAACTATGGGCCTTCAGGTTTCACGGCGAACTCATTAACCATTTGGCTAATCCGTCGGAGTTCACAGTTTCTAACGTTTGTCAATTCGTGATATAATGTGACTATCACTCAACGTATTTAGTTGTCAGTCCGTGTTGAATATTACCTCGAAATTAAAATCCCCATTAACCTCAAAATACATCCCTAATAATTTATTTAAGTGTTGTATTCTTTTTATTATATTCCCGTAAAGTTCTGTCGTAAAATAAACAGAGAAACGACTTTTCTGTGGCAACAAAGGTTCGTTAGTTGAAATGCCTCCCAGAAGCTGTCGCACCATGTATTGTTTTTCAACCCTATGGCACGTTAGATCAAATGGAAAGGATGTCAGTGTGCGACCTGATGCTTTGAAGTGAACGATAGTTTATTTAGTTAAGGACCAGTTCGTGACTCAAGACTTCATGAGTCGCATAAAACAGATTATGCGGCTCAGTAGCTGAGAATGGTATCCAGTATAACTCAGAATCGTATTTCGTATTTCTGATTTTAATTAAACTGTTACGACCTGAAAACGATTATTCAAATATTTGAGTGAGGGGAATCATAGCAGTGTTACTGATGAAGTGTGTTTTAGGAAGAAAACTTATTAGAAGATCGACATCGAGAGAAAAATAGGCTTAGAACGTGTGGTTCAGAAATAAAAACTTCACTTTCATAGACAATGAACCACATTATGAAAACTTACGAGATTCGAAAAATACAGATTGCTTTATAATGCCTAAATCATCTTTTAGTTACTCATATTTTCACAGTTGGGGGATACTCTGGACTGCGGAAAAGAACCTAGAAGATCTGGATTCTGCCGATGACTTGTGTCTGATGTCACACAAACTTAAAGATCTACAGGCAAAAACTAACAAGTTGATAGAAGAGGCAGCGAAGAAGGGACTTCAAGTGAATATAGAGAAGACAGAGGTGATGAAGATACCGCACCAACACCATCAACAACAAACTCCAATCACCATCAACGGGAGAAACTTAAAGGAAATAACTTCCTTTACCTATCCAGGCAGCAATTTTTCAGCTACACGCGGCACAGACGAGGATGTCAAAGTCATGATCGGAAAAGCAAGACAGGCGTTCATTAACCTGAAATCAGTGTGGAGATCTTCTGCACTCGGGATAAAGAAGAAGATTCAGATTTTCAGCACCAGCGTCAAGTCAGTGCTTCTTTATGGTTGACAGACTTGGCGCTTTACGAAAGGGATTTTCAACAATCCTGACTACTTACTGTAACAGTCAAAATCACCGCGCAATCCTCTCCAGCCGTCAAATGCAAGGTTCAGGATTTAAGAAAACTGTCTTAGAAACTGCAAAATTATGGTCTTGTTGCTAATTTTTACGTCCATCACACTGAAAAGAGCCTTTAGCTTACTTTGTTGCTACTAAGAAGAAGTATATAGTCAGATGGGAACATTTTCTAAAACTGAAGTAGTAGATTCTTAGCTTAGCTTATAAATGTTATCATTATATAAGGAAAAGGGTTGACTCAGCAATGCATGCAGAAGTTCTATTATAATTCACTATGTGTAGACAGTTGTAGGAAATGTAAGCTAACATCATTGTCGATGGAATGAGAACTGATTTATACCAGACAGCTTCAAAGGCCTGACTTGTTGAACTTGCGATTTACGCACTACTGTTTCCCATTGTTAGGAAACAGTTGATATTCTGTTATCCTGTCACGTAACAAATAATGTATAAGAGACTGCAGATGCGAATGACATGCTGATTTACATTTCTTAAAATTCGAAAAATAGTTTTTATCATATTTCCCGATGCTTACTCTGCCGACAAAAAGAAAACAAGGACAAAACTCAAGTATTATTTTATTGTTATGAATAAATCATTCCAATGAATAGCTACGTCATTTAAATTATTGCATTTTTCTACTATCATTTTTGTAATGATTTTTATAACTTGCATTCAATGAAACCTTGTTTACACAGAATGCATGAAAAAAGAGCTTTCTGGCGGAAAAAAATATTTTTAAATAGGGTTAGTAATAAAGAAAGCGTTTCACTTGTTGATTAAGATGATTTTTCCAGAATTCTTCTTTATGATGTTTGCTTAGTGATTGAAAGTTTTCAGCCGGTTCTATATTATCCAAAAACCCACTTATATATATACGATGAAATAGAGTGTACAATTCACTCCATGCGCCTAACGGCATGCCCAAGAGAAATAATTCCATTTCCTTGCCAGCTTTAACACCCTCCATTAGTTGAATTAAATTCTTCAGTTGTGTTGAGTTCAGCTTTGCGGCAACTGCATAATCAGATACTGTTTTACTTTCTGATTTGTTGGCAAAATTTGTTAGTGATGTAGAACAAAACAAACAAACAAACAAACAAAGTGAAAGTTAAAGTGAAAACAACTTGAAAACAAAATAACTGGCATACTGTAAGCTAATCAGTTACCTGGGTGACTCTATACTTGCTAGTATAATCACTATCGTTCTGAATAACAGTAACCGAAATCTGTGTCCTTTGCTGAAGTAGACAGCAATCTAGAGGACTTCCTATGTTGATTGGAATTTAGAAAAACCTTAGGTGTTTCATGAGCTAAGCTGGAAGTATGTACTTGCTTCATTGATATGTTTCTTTAAGATACTGATTCTAGAATGAAAACATGAAAGTTATGATAAATTTATACAGCAAACATTTAATTATCATCAGACTAATCAAAATTTATACTCTTATACGAAGAACTCTGCATCGGTCTCTGAAGGATATGTTGTTTTCCAATTATGTGAGGTAGTGTCACTTAATATATGGGCTTATTGAATATCCCTCGTGATAAATTCTGTAACTGTGGCTTGATTACATACTCGATAGTGGCTAGAATTGGAAATAAGAGGCCTTTGTTTACTTTCGAGCTTACCATCTAGATTCACATATATCTCACCACCAGTGTTACTTTTCTCAGTCAGATATTTCAGTTGATGGGAACTACTGATTTTAAAACCTGTTTCAAACGTACTTATATTTGGATTCATTATTCGACTATAGCATCAGTATGAAATATTGCACGAAACTAACTCAAAACTACGTAATTTACTTGTTCTGATATTGAAAATACACACTTTAAGATGATTGAAAGGTAAAATCTATAAAAACGATATCAGTATGAGACAGTTTAGAATGATTGATAAACTTTGTTAAAAGTTTTGTTTTAAGGCATCATTTAAGGTCAATTTAGGTGATTTTTCTCTACAGCATGAAGTTTTTATGCAAAACTTGCAAACTGATACTAATACACTGCTTCTTAAGATAGTAGGAAGTGTCAGTGAATAATTTGTCTGCTGATCATAGAGCAAATAATTTTAATTTTAATACGAAATGGAATATGGATTTTCCTTAGACTCAGTCAAAAAAAAAATAGCACTAAGAAAAGGCAGATTATCATGTTTTTCTTGTAGAGCATTTATCGGTTAGTAATATTAAATAGTGCTGGCTTCGTTTGTCAGCTTAAAATTGTGTGAATGATGTACTTAAGCCCATAGAAGCAGATGCACAATGCATTAATACGTAAACCTCAATATCCACCAGCTTTAAGTACAACTATACGCCGTTCATAAGGCTTATAAAATTTAGTTTTCATTACTTTTGTCTTTAAGCCAGAGATAGTAGAAAGGTACTACTGAAAAATTGTGCATTCACTTTATTGCAAGAAAGTGATAAATGGACATTATTTAAGCATGCAAATTTCTGGTATATATCCAGTGTTTACATATCTTGTATGCATTATACAGGAACCAGTTCTGTCAAAACAAGCCTTGTTCAGAAGTTAAGTATTTCCACCCTTCACATATTCTATTAATTTTTTCATTTTTCAATACATCTCAAGTGACTCAACGAAACCTATCAGAATATTCATACATATCCTGTGACCGTTTTAAGTTGAGCCCTGTAATTTAAGGTATCGGATAGTGTCTAAACGCGTTTTAAATGCCTATTCCTTTGAATCTACAGATCCTACTACATTGTCATACGCTGAAGTGAATACACTTTGAACCTTTCACTATTTTATTAGTGGTAGATGAAACAAGGCATACACATGAAAAGGATTTCATTAGGAATGATGGTGATTGATTCTACAATATAGTATTACCAAATACTTTATTTTCAAGTTTAGCCTGTGAAGAACTTTGTATATTGGAGTGGTTTTTGTGACCAGTTCATAATGAAGTTCCAAATTGTGAATTAGAATCACCGTGAAAAAAGCATTGAAGTTAACATTGACAATAGTGACCTATTCGTGGAAATTTACAATCCTTAATATTAAAAAGACGATGATCACTAAGAATAACTCTTTTCATCAAAGCTGTATAGTTATATAACAGTGTAATGATATCCTTTTTAACATATCTTGCATGTCAGAAGTGAAAGTTCAGTAACAACTTATAAGTAATGGGTCATATTTTACACAAGTCTAATGTTCGATTTCCATATTCTCTGTGTCAAAACATCTCATCCTATATAGATAACTTTTCTCAAAATAATTTTTTAAATGTCTAATGCTTATATAATCTCATCTTATTACTTCACCTACACCAAACGTCATCTAATCATTTTCACTTACTGTTGATATGATGCAGTGATTTCAAGAAAGCCACCCGAAGTACACTTTTATTGGTTATTCTTTCATACAAATACGACTACAAACAGTGTATTTCCAACAAAACTCTTTGATACAAAGGGAGAATAACATTTTATCTAAATGATTAAACCTAGCTGCACAAATAGTGAATTACAAGACAAACGACGATAATGACAGCAGTTGCAAAATGTATCACTAAGCTATTTTTTACTGCCAAAGGATAACTATATATCCACTAAGTAGTAACTGTACTATCCTGGTACCAAATGTGATGGCGTGAAGAACAACGGTAGTATGTAGTAAACTGGATAAAGTTGGGTTTATATGACCAGAAAGTTGGGTGTATATGAGTGAAACTTGGGCCGTGTGGTAGATTACAATTCCATTTTAGTCTGTTTATTAGAAATGTCACACAATGAAGCAGCTTCATTTACTGGATAACGTTTCGGACACAATTTATTGTCCATATTCATGAGTATAAATTGTGTCCGAAGCGTTATCCGTTAAATGATACTCTTTCACTGTGTGACATTTCTGATAAACAGATTAAAATGGAAAAAGTTGAGTGGCTGAAAGAAAGTATTCAGAGTTCTTCAGCTGACGTTCAATATAACTGAAAATCTTTTGCTAATAAGATGCTCATATGCTTGAACTCATACATGTAAGACTGCTGAATTATTAGGAGATGCAGAACTCCAGGAATTCAGTGGCTATAAATGGATATGTTAGTAGGCTCTTGCTGGCTTTTCCATCATTATGAAGGTGATATGTTTCCTTTATGATTATGTTGAGATGATTCAGCTAAATCAGTAGCATAGGTCACACGTAATCAATTATGGAAGCTGTTATTGACATAAGAAATTGCAAAAATAGCTCTGAATTGTATTCTTCCAAATCAGGTAACAGATTTACTTCATTTTACTTCGCATAGCAAAAGTTGCATAAACTGTGAGAATGGCTATTCAGTCAGCAGAATATAGATATATAGAAGAAATGTTTGTCAATTTTTTTCACTGCAAAATAATACGTGAATCCGACCACTGGGAAACATAATAACTGAGTAATTAAGGAAATACATTGTAGCACTATGAGTGCTTTTAATGCACTAATTCCGTTTTATATTCAAAATTACTAACCTAGAGGCATTCCGATGAATAAAACTATGTATTTTCCAGTATATCTTTCTACCAATGCAAATTTTTCCCATTTCATATCGTATTGGGTATTAGGCGTAAATTTCCAGAAAGTATTTCTGTTTATTATTGTATTATCAAAATTTACTTCCAGATGAAGTTCCATGGTGAGTTACTACCTACACGTTTCAGTATTGGTACATAAATTCGATTCATGATTATCTGAAACATCGCTGAAAATAAGAACCAATTTCCAAAGTTATTGTTTATTCACTGACTTTTATTCCGAACAACAATATAACTGTTTTGAGTTCCTGCTTTATGTGAGAGGTTTATTTTTTAAAAAATCGTTTCGTAGACTGAAAAAAGATTGGTCACTTGATTTTTCTAAAGTCTGTTGGTTCATATATTACTGAGATTTATCTACACGTCGATAGAACAGTACTTACTACTTGAAAGAGCTGTAAGTTCTGCTAATAAAAACGTCTGATAACCAATCCTATATCACTTTGTGCAGTACTACATAAATTGATCTGTTTTGGAGTTGTGTTGAAGCTTGGTATGGGGGTGAACTTCTATTAGTTTCTTTGCGAAGCGCATGGAAAAGGATGGTTTATTTTTAAACATTCAACTTTGAAATCCTCCACCTCTGTTTGCTAAATCGTACTTAAGTTTTTCATCCAGATTAACCGGAAAACGTGCTCAGTTTAGTTGTGACAAATAACATAATCCGACTAGCGTTTAGCAGGATAATGTTCACAATGAGATCTTATGATAGCTCACAATAAGTAGACAAAAGAAGATCGGTGGACGATTTATAGGCTTGTGGTGTGCAAACATGGCCGTCCTTTCTTCTCATCGTTGCTGTGTAAATTTAACTGAATATTTCGTTTTATTCAAAATAAATGACACACAAATATGATGTAAAAGCTGAATTCTATTGCAGTGTGTAGATTAGTTAAATAGGTGTTTGAATCTGAACGCTGAAAATACATACAGAATGAGGGTCAAGAAAGCCATGTGATAGTGATTTAGTAAACAGTCTGTAAGTTCAGTCCCCTTTTGATTTATACTTTTAGTTCCTGTTTGTTCTTACTATGCACATTTTTTCCCCCGTGAGGACTCAGAATTAGACATGAACACTTGACACAGTTTACTTAAGGTTGAAAAAACGATAAAAATATATTTGCTTTTTGTCAATGGTTCTTCTATTTCAGTATGACAGAAGATGCATCTTTGGAAGAAATCTTATGTTACTGTTCTAGTTATACCAGGTGCGTATACCACCTACTTCTAAAGAATTTTCTGCAGAAATTAACTTTTCCTTCGGGTTTATTTCGACAACACCTATTTACTAATGGCGGGTAAAATGTCAAGGAGCGGCATAGGAAAAAAGTAAAAATACATAATTTCTTTCTCTTCTTTTTAAGGTCGTTTTATTAATAAGGAAGGAGTCCATGGTCAACATAGAAATTTTTAAAGTTGAAATATCCGGGGAAAATAAATCTGAATAAATATAGTGAACATTAACCGTAAACACATAAAACATAAAGTAGTGGATACTGAAGAGCTCAGCTTTTTTCTGAAAATGGCTCATATAACATGTGCTGAGTAAATAATCTTCTTTAGCAACAAACGATATATTCTAATTTATCTGACTTCCTGTACTAGTTTCCTCACTAATAGGGTTGAAGTAAATAGTTTCAAGCACCTCAAATTTTGTATATCAAACAAAACAAAAGGACAAAATCCTACCTATAACAAAAGCAATGCCTTGTTTGAAATGGATAATGATTGCTGAATCCATTTTTGATTCAAAAGTTTGCAAGGCAACAAAATAACGAAATATTTTGTTTATCTTCCTGGTATAACTCAAAATGTGTTTATCCATGACAGATGCACAGGACGTGTGGCCGTTCACATTTATTTCGGATACAGGAAGGGTGGTCATAAACATTTCACTTATGAATATAAGTATTTCGAAAATTTTTTAGGGTCCACGAAACATGAAATAACACTTTAATGTCATTATATAACTTCGTTGACTTTAATCCATGCATGCATGTAGTATCTCGAAAAGGATTGGAAAAACTGTTAGATCAAATGGAATGTCAGATATGGAGATGACGTATGAACTAATAAGACTGAGTTGATATAAAGCATAACTGAAAGAAGTGACAACTGCAAAACCTTGGCGACTGAAGTAAAACTAAGATCTTGTCAGCAGCCGGGTTTCATGGCTAACTTGTTAGAGGACCAGGCTGGTGGCCTAGGGGTAGTGGTTCTAATCCTACTACGGCTCATATTTTTATTTCAGCTCCAATCGTCATCCAGGATCAATCCAACAGGTATCATACTCTTCATTTCAAAAACCGCTCCACTTATTTAAAAAAATAAAAATACCAAGCGAACTAATAATCAAATCTGAGTGTGGTTCTCTTGGCAATAATTGCGAATAACCCAAAGAATAAAATGTGTAACAAATTCCGTTCGGGGAAGCAGATAAGAAGTAGAAAATCTAACAGGGTAGTGAAAAACTGAATACTTCAATATTTATTGAGGCCAGAAAGATCAGTCAGTAATGAGGATTCAAAACACTGGGGCTGAAAAATTATTCTGAACAGTCTTATTCGACAAGCTACATAGTACTGAACAAACCGATGAAGAAAAGGGAAAGCTGATGAACATAATTTATTTGTATATCAATTCATGAGAAGTTAAATGTTGTTATCTGTTTTAAAATCGCACTGTAGATAATGACTACAGCGTTGTTAAGAACTCCATCAAAAATGAACCAGCTCTAGAACAGTTCCGGCTCATTATATCTCAAACAATTTATACGAATTCGTCTTCCAAGTTCCATCAGTAGTTAAAAATGACTGGAAAACGGAAACAAAAGTGCTAAACAAGTCAATATTGATGGTCCATATTTTGATAGTAATGTACTAGATATTAAAATGGAAACGCCAACCAATTAAGAATTAAATCATCATAAGCTTTTGATTAATAAATGCCTTACTAAGGTGAATAAGCTTCTATCATCAGAAGTTTATCCTGATTACACAACACTACCACATAAAGCTTTCCATAAAGCAGTAACTAGAAAACAAAAGGACTTCTAATACAGTACACGACAGTTTTGCCTCAAATTAAGAATGTATTGGACATAAGTATTGCTTTTTTGATGTTAACATGCAAGTACAACTTTGGCTTACAAAGTGAAACAGTATCCTTTCCCGGTCCCCATTTATGGTACAATTTAAGGTCCATGGTCATAGATCTCGATATGAAGTTCTGAAATAGGGTTAAGTCTTGTCGACTTGATTTTCTAAAATCTATTCTCGCTTTTATGTGTTGCTTATTGCTGAAACTTGTGTTTCACTTTGAATCCGTTATCATGAGATTAGATTCGCAGATATTCATAAATTGAAAAACGAAAATTAAGCAAAAAATTTCAACCGTCAGTGTACTTACATGAGCATTGGAAGAGGTATTGGTGTTTGACGCCATATTTTAGTGAAACAGTAGGCAGAAAAACTGAAAAGGGTGTACTTTCACTATTTATACTGAAGAAAATGCATAAAGGGGTTGCTGAACAATGTAACGACAAGTCATTTTGAAAGTTTAGCATGGTGGACTGTTATGGATAGATGTTTTTGGTCAGTAACTATATTTCATGCATCGATAAAGCATTAAACTGTTGAGCGTATTAGGAAACCTCACTACAATGACATTAACGCCTAATTCTTCCGGTCAGTATTGGTCCAGTTGTTCGTTAACTGTGATCTAGTATATATTTTATGTTGCTGTTATTATTAAAACCATTTTCAGTAAAAATCTCAATCAATATCATTTATAACCACACACAGACAGAGATTTTATTATGAATATAGATGTAAATAGTAAGGAGATAGACTGCCAACTTTTGGTGACAGAAAGACTTCACTATCAAGGTAAATATATCAAACCGTTTTACCGATTTCAGTCATAATTTATCTCTGGCTGAAAGAAACTACTGAATAGGAAATCACTTAAAAGAGAAAAAATTGAAGCAAGAAAGCTAAATAGATGTAGTTTTTTTGACTGATAATAATCTCAACTTGAAGGAGGGATGATGTTTGAGATGTTATTGTCATCCACAGCCTAACGTTTAGAGATGTGTACTTCCTTTCTACGCTCAGATGTCAAATGATAAGCAACAATAGTATGGTTTAATGACACACATGTACACACAATATTATGATAACAAATGAGAAAAAACACTGATAACAATATAAGTGCCTTACCGACAAGTTTAGCAGCCAAATCTTCCGGCGTTCCATGGCCTAGAAATCTTGGTATCAACCAATTTTGATATCGATGGATAAATCCAGCTAAGTGTTCTTGTGCTGGCCTCAGTTCTATAAAAAGCAGAACATAACTAAGAGGTTACACTTTTAAAAATTATCACCGTAAATATAAATATAACTAGTACCAAAAATATTGCAGTGTTACGAAACCACAGTAGAAATGTTTATTTTTCACAAATGTAACTAAGTCACAAGTTCTAAACTTATGTTATAAAGGTAGTTAAGCACTAGTGGGGACTGTGAATGTAATTGCTATTTGGCTTTTGTAGATGTATACTTTTCAAAACTACACACAAAGCTAAATAACATAAATGATGCAGTTATTTAAAACACAAATGCAAAGTAAACCTTACAGTTATGCAACGTATTTCTTTCAGAAATTATATCTGATACATTTACTTAGGTGTGGCTAGCAGGGAAATCCACGACGCATGTTTCATCCTATTTGGGACTCGTCAGCTGGATGCACTTGCACCTCAATGAATCATCTTTTTCCCACTGAGACTGGAACCCAGTACCCATAGCTTCAAAAGCCAAGGCTCTATTCACCTGACCATTGGGGCACGATAGTTACTTGTTATACAACGGGTATTAGTTACTTCCAGTTGTTTGGGTTCGAGTCTCAGTAGGAACACCATCACTCTGCTAGCTGCAACCAAGTAAGTTATCATAATAATTATTCAGGTAACATCGAAGAGCCCGCATAGGGGCCCATATGCCGATAGACGTTGAGAAATTCTATTCAGTAGAACAACGGAAGATTACAAGTATATCAAAAATAGTAATTATATCTTATACGGTTAACAAAAGAAGGTTGATGAAGGTCAGCAGATTGGAATCAATAAAGCTTGTCACGATAGTTAGTAGGGTCCATAAGTATACCAGATAACCTATAAATCCGTCTTCATCAAAACAGTCTGCATGAGTCACGCTATTAAAGTTGTTAATTCAGGATTTATACTAGATACTCAAATTTAATTAGCTCCAAAGTTTTCCTGTTGTAAAATGGCTTATTGTTATATTGTACAATTTTAAATGTGTACAATCATCAACTATTCATCTGTCTTATTTTTGCTATTATTCGTATCTTAATCCCATGTTTATATTCCTTAGTCTGACCTTAGAAAATCTCATTTCTGTGTTATTTGATAACTATGCAATGCATTGCATTTATGTAGTTTCTTCTGGTTATGAAATGTATAGGAGTCATTTCATACTTCAATATTTCTCGACACATTCATTCCCTGCACTGAAGTCATATGCATAACACGGTCTTTCAAATTTCAGTTCTGATAAACCCATGTGATTAGTATGTAACAGTAGTAAGTAGTTTATCTGTCAGACTATTGTTAAATGAAATTATTATAGCACTTAGACAGCACGTATCTGAAAATGGAAAGGCTGTCGATAGTACAAACTCTGCGAAATAACAGACAGAAATTCTAACAAAATCAAATGAATATCTATCTAAGTTGCTGTCGAGATCGTGATAATTATTTTTCTTATCAAGGTTTATATCAAACCATGAATTCAGGATTCATTTTTTCATATGTTACAACTCTAGTCCGAACACATCATTAGTTAACTGTCATCTGTTGTGTTCTTTAACCATTTGTTCTCATTCTTACATTTTTTTGATCTACCAAACACAACTACTTACAACAAATTTAGTACTGGAAGTTGGTTTGTATTTATTATGTGATAAAAATCTTCAAGATAACCATTTTCTTGTAACGACTCGTTGACTCGTTTGATCAGGGGATTTACGAGAAATAAACCTGTCTGTAGGATCGAAAATAAAGTAATGCAAAAGTGAATTTACTTCATGTCCTATAGATTCTTCAAACTTTATTGTACTCAGATTTCGATAAGCCATCATGTTGTCCTATTTCATGGTAGTTATTAAGTAGTAAACATTTTTGGCCCAAATTAGTCTGCACTGAACATTGAACAAATCTTATCAATCAACGACTTTAACTCGACTTATAACCAACAACTCAAGGGTTAGGTGCTGTATGGATACTGATAGATATTTTTTGATAACTAGCACTCAACATGCCTTCGTTTAAGGTTATCGTCTTATGAAAGCACATTTTCAGTATGTTAGTTGAATGGAAGCAGTTAACGGGAAGCCCTGGGCCTAGGTTTTGTGCTTTTTGGCACTCGTCAACAAGGTGTAGTTACAACTTCCACGGAACTGATGTCCCGCCTGAGATTTGAACCCGTGTCACACAGTGTTGCACTAACAACATCTATCTCAGTTCATCTCAGTGGTGAACCTCCTAGTCTTTTGGTCACATTGCAAAATGATCGATGGAATTCGACTGACACTTAAGACTAGACTAAATGAAATCAGTCACTATCCAGTAACCAATCAGTGTATGTTTTTAGTCTGTTTAAATGTTTGAAGTAGGACTTTAAGCACAGACGGAAATGATTAGAGTTTCCGTCACATAATAATCCTTAGGATATTTATCAGATGGCCTATTGCTTAGACGCAACAAATTATGATTGTTTTTTTCTGAAAACATATAAAGGAAGAGAAAAGAAACTTACTTGCAGTGCACATTTCAGGGTCTTCATCGTATAAATCAGGACAATCTGGCTCACCATCACATATGAAATCAAATGATAAACAAATTCTAGGTGTTCGGCATGGCCATGGCTGACTTTCAGGACAATCATTACCCCGCTCTGTAGCTGAATATTGAAACAAAGAAATAACATTGAAGAGAAGAGATAATTCAGTGACGAAAAGTTTCCTTGTAGATGGTTCTTTCTTTTCTTTATGAAGTAATACTGAGTTGGAAAGAAAGTAGTATTTGGCATTCGTAGTAAGAATGTCATAAAAGCCATCCGAAAATGGCATACTGATAGATATTCCAAACACACTACTGAACAATACAACTGGTTAGATATATCTCCCACTGGTCTACAGATTTATTTATTCAGATAAAAAGGACCTGAACATGAAAACGACTGCCTAGCTTGCTTACAACTGATCCCTCTACTGATTAGTCTATCATTAAAGGAGTTTTCGATCATATAGTGTGAGGAATACTTATGAGCCTAACAAAATCTGCAAACTATAGTGAGTTGTTTTCAAATATCCACTTTGTTTAGTGACTCATTTTGATGTTAAATCTATATCATAGGTTGACTAAGTTGTTCTGAATATTGATCTTGTTTGCAAAACCGTTGAACAGTAAGACAACCACTTGACTACTAGCAATATCAACGTTAACTGTGAAGTTCATAAATAATTTGCAATGATATTGTCTAAAACTTACAAGAAATATAATGAGTACGTGATATCTTGAACAGATACATTATATTTTTGGCACATCGTGAGTCGCTGTTAAAAGTTTTGCAAATTACGACCAGAAATACAAGTTTATTACCATAAGTGAACATTAATATCTAGTTTTTAGATCATGAATCTACTCAACTTGTAGTCTGTCTGTTTAGAGACTGTGAGAACTGTGAAGTATTTCTTCACCATTTATAAGTAAAATCTTAAAAATTATCTCGTTCTAAAAACTGAGTATTGTCTGCTTTTCCATTTCCTCTGAAAAAGTTTTCTGTTCTAACAGTGTTTACAGCTAACTGAAATTTTTATTTAAAGCCTAATGGATTTTATTTTGCATGTTAGAAATGGTAAAATTTGATGAGCACCACCAATAAAGCTTTTAATAAAAAGCGAACAGCTAAATCAGACTAGTTATACGTTAAATGGCAGGAAGCTAGAACACATGTTTACAAGATTAGAAGATAAAGTTTAAATACATCTACAGGAAAGAGTTTTTTGACAGTAACACTATTCTACTGTTATAATCCACAGTTTACTGAGATAATTTCGATCGATGGTTTTTAAATTTTCATATCTACATTGGCTCTTGGATTGGCCATCTTTGTTACTCTCTCTAGACAAAAGAAAGTGAAGCCTTCTGGGATAAGCAACTCACAAGTAAGCGGATTTCGTTTTTATCTCCTTTCCATAATATCTACGACTGAAAAATAGGAAATTAGTAGATTGCTTGAATCTTCATGCTATCCATGAAACAAAGGCTTTTAATTCAGCAGTCGAAGCTTTAGAAGGTTTTCTTTTGTCGAATAAAAGTGATTAAAATGACAAAATGATAACTGAAAGTCTTACCGCTCTCGAAAAATAACTTTCAAACTTGAAATTATCTTTAGCATTGATGAATAAGCTCTGTTCGATAAAAAAATGCCCAAGTAATCTTGAAGCCCTACAGTCGATATCAAATTTTTATTACAACTCTATAGATTAAATAAATTGATCTCAGAGGCTACAAAGGTTTCCGTTACAAAGAAAATAAATTAATCTACCAGTCATCCCTACATGTTTTTAAACAGAAGAAATTGGTTAGTGTTAATGATTCTTCTCGAAAATATGTGAAAGCAACTGGGCAGATTTTTGAAAAGCTGATCATGCCTTATTAACACATGATTGAATTGTTTATTAACTGTGAAAAAACTTTAAATATAGACCGTATATTGAGTCAGTGAACACTTTCAGTATTCATTCATGCAATCAACAACAAGTTAAATGAGTAATAGGAAGTTCCATCTAAAATTTCCTCAGTTGAAACTGACAACAAAATTAATTGTCTAGCAAAATAAAATTAAACAAGCATTGAAAACGTGAAACAGCGATTTCAGACAGATATAACATACATTGCTTATTAAGGCAGATATTCCTGCTTCTGATTCTTCATAGATGTCATTTTGAAAATTGCTAGCAACTAGTGTGATGTTCATTTTGTTAGATTCTTACTGAATTATCATTAGGAATACAAATATGCTCTGCACCTACTTAAGAGTCAGCTAGCAACTGTCAGCATATAGGTTTCTTTCAATCTCATAGTTCTATCAACATTTAGTTGAATTTGAAGCGTTAATTATCATGGAAACCCATTAGTAACAATTAAGATAAGTTATTTTCGCATTAATACTTCCATTTTACTAAATTCCTTGTATGATTTGCTTTTTTTACAACTAATAAAAATATATTCTGTATTTTTGAGATGGATGAGGATTTTTTAATTTAGAAATAGTATTCATCATGACTTGACATCAGTTGGGGGACCATTGGAAATCTGGGAGCACTGAACGGCTGATTTATCCTAGTATGGGACCCCTCAGCAGAACGCACCCATGACCCGGCTAGGGACTATCACTTTGGATGATAGTCGTGCTATGTTGTGAATCAACAGAAGTTGGAAATTGTGAACCACTGGAAACCGACCCAGTGGCTGAATGGTAAACGCGTTCGCCGTGAAACTTGAAGGTCCTGGGTTTGATCTGTATCCGGGTCGTGGGTGCGTACTGCTGAAAAGTCCCATACTTGGACAAAACAGCTGTCTAGTGCTCCCAGATTTCCAATGGTTCTCTAATTGATGTCAGTCCATGATGAATACTACTTCTAAATATGTTCTCTGTTAGCTATTTGAAAAACTTACAATCAATCAGAAGGCTAGTAATCTACCAGCAAATTTCATCTTGTTGAACTAAAAGTCAATATTTACAGTCCGTCAATCAACAGTTGCCAAAAGGAAATAGGTGTTGTTTCGTGATGTGTACTATTGGAAATTAAAAACTGCCTCGGTGATCATGTTTGAATGATTAGGATGTTATAGTGATTGATGTTCATGTGTTATTAAATTTTTGTATTTTGTTACCATTAGTGTTCTTTTTGCCATTCAAAGCCCATCCTAAGGATATGAAATACGGATAAATTATCGTCATCTTATGTTGCTACAACAAACAAAACATTTTCCACGTTTTAATGTGAATTTTATTCATCTTTTCGTTAAACATTGCGAATCATTGGTGAACAGACATGGGAAATTAGAATTCATCTCTTAGATTTTCTGCCTACATTGGCTGCCATCAGAGAAGTAACTAACTTGTTTTTTCAACTCCCCACATTTTCGTAGCACATAAAACCATGAATCGCCTAATGATTTTGCCTATTGTCCTTCAGTGGCTGATAAGTAATTTTTTTCACAAAACTTTTAGTAAGAGAATACCTTCAAGGCATAGACCTCATGAACATTACTATTTATTCTTCTTTTTAAGATAGATCAGGAAATTACTTGCCAGGAAAACAGCTGAGACTTTCTTATGTTTTTCGTTTATTTAGTCGGTTTCTAACCCGTAACCATTCATAAAGATTAAAGTAGGATATTAAGTGAGTTTTTGAACCATTTAAAAATTCAGAGTTTTAAAAAGCCTCTTAGAGTCTACACTTCGTATTTTTCTGCAAATGTTTCTGTAATACACTGAATCCTGCCATGTAGTTGTCCTATAAATACTGTCTATTTTAGCAACTTGACTAATAACACCTGCTCTGTTAAATTCATTCACATAAACTAGAAGATAACAATGGTTGATGAAACATCTTACAGGGAAACAGAATAAAACTAAATGACTGACATGAAAATACAAAGCTTTTTTTTAGCTCGTTAAAGGGTTTTAAAAAGGTTGCACAAAAGCAATCAAAATTCTTGGACTAAAAGCATTTCATGCACTGAATTATTTCCTTTGTTTTAAATTTCACTGCTTGTTATGCTTAACCCCTCTAGATAAAAAGGTTAGCTCTGATAGGCAGGTATATCAACAGAATTTTTGTTAATGGCATCAAACTCATAAGTTTCTACTAGATTTCACACTTTCAGTATAGTTACCTCTTTATCTTCCTTTTTTTGTATCTGGTTTTTATTTCTTTACCCACCCAACATATACAAATAAACGTAAAGTAAGTGATGAAATTCTAAAACAAGTAGAATCACAAGTTTACAAATGAATAATGAATGCATTTATCTATGCATCGATGAATATTAATGAAATTAGTGGAATATTGATAAGAAAACTTAATTCTTTGAAAGGATTATAGGAGAAAGAACTCAGTCATTCAAACAAAGCTTTTCTAATATACTTACGTTCACATTCTTTTCGAAATCAGCTTATTCTTGCATACAAATAAGCTCAAAATGACTTGAACAGTGAGCTAAACTATGAGTCACTAAACTTTTGACTAAATGATAAGGAAATTCTGTTGTGTTTAAAAAAGATTAGAAGTCCATGTACTACTAGCTGCATAGAAAGATTTGAGTTATTATTTTCAAGTTATTTTTTCAACTGGAAGCTTTAGGTTAACTACGATAGTACTAAAAGATAATTTATTGTAAAAAGCTGACATCTGAAGGCTCTAAAGTTATTCGCTGAAACACTGAGAAGCCTCAGAAAACACTGAATTCTATTTTCAAATTTAAATTCAGTGTTCGTAAGACATTACTCAACCTCGCCTGGTTAACTAGTACACTAGTTACTAGCCGGTCCTAAACCCGGGTAAAGAGGGAAGGTTGGGCATAGGGCTAGCAACCCTACCCCGTAAAACAAATCTAACCGCTAAAGAAACTTCAAAGCACAAACAAAATATAAAAAATGAAAACAATATTGTTCCTCGCCGAAATCGGACATACGAAATGACGCCGGTCGGTGAAAGCCTTCGGGAAGCCAATTGGCTGATGCATCTTCTCTTCTCTCGATGAAAGCGAAAGTAAACGTGGGGACATGGAATGTCCACACTATGTTTGAACCCAGTAAGGCAGCCCAGATTGCAAAGGAGATGAGAAGGTATCACATCGAAGTGCTAGGGATCTGCGAAAGCAGAT